TTTGTACAATATTAATCATAACTAAGCAAGCTATAACCAACACTGTCAGATGCACCAGTGCCAACAGTAACAGTATGACACAGCAAATGAGAGGCTGACCAGCTTTAATACATTGAAGTACCTTTATATTTGAGGATGTGTGATATTTAAAAACCTTTTTATGAACGCTAGCATTTGGGAAGACTGGTTTTTCAGTTTTCCTTAAGGGCAGAACACTGACAAAGAATGAGCCTAGGTTTAGAATTGCTGATGCAAACTGCAATAATATATTTCATCCAAAATGCTTCTTCACTGCTAGAAAATAATTATGACTTCCAGAACCACAGAAACATAATAATAATAACACTAATTATTCCAATGAATCCAAAGTGAACTAAAACTATGCTATTAATTTCATCATAAGTCCCAAATATGCCAATTTGGACTGGATCTCCACTGTACACTCTATAAGCATATTGTTAATCACTTATATTTCCCATGAAAGATGCAATCACCTGACTTAAAATTTGGTTACAGTATCATGTTTGAAACTCCAGGTTCAGATGGTTGAACAATTATGTCTTTAATTAATCATTATTTGATAGCACAGTAATAACTTAATTCAGCCAACTACATAATACATAGCAATCTTCAAGTATGGATTGAAAACTGCAAAGCATGCCCTGAAATTTTATGGCTTATTAAATCCTCAGGAAGCCACATGGCTGTGCCCTTCAGCCATTTATTGATCCAGACTGACACATCTGTGTGCATCGCTCCTGCAACATACCACGCTGGTTTAAACAGGCACTATTACAGCAAATTAAACAGCAAAGGACCACTAAATTTACAGAACAAGGTATTCTACTGTTCAAGGTATTCTAATATTCTATCTACCAGGTATTCTTAAAAGTATTGTTCCACACAGTTTTGAAGACAGTTCTGCGTGCATTAAATTGGTCTGTGATTACGGAGATGCCAAACCATTCTGCATAAAGTAGAAAGCTGCTTAACATTATGATCCTTCCAGTCACTGCCCTCATTTAATAAGCGCACATTCTGAAAAAAAACTGTTATGGAGTGAACTCTACAAGGATCTGGCTTGCCACGCAGTTGGGGCTTCTTGGTTTCATGCTGCCAAAATGAAGTTAGACACTTCAAATGTACCTGGTGCTTTTTCAATGCCATCCTAGGGTGTCATTGCTTCAGCTGGCACAGAATAGTATGAATTTTGGCTTCACTGAAGTTGACAAAAAACTTCACTGAGTCAAGCTATCATACAGTTGTGAACAGCTGTTTAAATTATGACTGTCTACCTTCACAGTAGTAGCTTATTCCATAGCATTCTCTAGAGTTCTTTCCACAACAAATTATGGCAAATAGCTCCAAGTTAAATTTCACTTCAAGAATAAAGAAACTACAAAAATGCATATTCAGTCTTTATTTTATTAAAACAAGATTTGTTCTGCTGAAGGAATGAATGAATTCATAACTGCAAAACAAACAAACAAGGAACAAAACCTTTGTTTCTGGGCATGCTCAGAGCTATGCTATTACAAATTTTTCTGAAAAACATTATCAGCAATGCTGTAATTCATAGCAGATAAATCATTAAAGGCAAAAATTCTGGGATTTTAGTTACATTAGTGAGACACATTTTACTTTTCCTATCTGTCCCCAAAACACCAATAGTTGAAACACTTCTCTTTCCAGTATGAATTCAGATACTCTGCTCTCAGGCAGAGCTGACCCTAAGGGACAAAGAAAGGAAGACCACTAAAGACATCAAGAATCATCATGCTCCTTCCTGTCTCCCACTATTCAGTGAAGTAAAGCAGACTCCTGAGCACAGGAGCACAGGTATCAGCCTGCCCTCTACACTTCAGATCAGGATACCATCCTCTTCTGTTTACCTGTCACTGATTTACTTCCAAAGAGAACACATTGTCCTGTAATTTAGCTCTTTACAATATTAAAAAATCCAAATACATGACTGAGAAAAAAATTGGAAACAATAAACCTGAAACTAAATGAGCAGAAGATACAAAGAAAGAACATCCAGCAACAGCACTGGGCAAGTTTGTAATATCGCTGTATCCTTACAAACTCACAATGAGTCAAATGACCGCAGACAGCAGGGACAGAGAAGCAGATAACAAATTACAGCATCAAGCAAAAGTATTGCAAAATACATTACCAATAACAAGAATATGAAAACCACAAAAACACATAATCTCATTTGGGCACAAATTTTGCATGAAACTTAAACACAACTTCAGATTAAGTTATAGTCTCGTTATAAACAGAAATGCCTCATTTTATCCGAGTCCCAGAGAGGAGTACTTTCATAATACAATTACAACAACACTGGATTCAAACTTGTCAGAAAGAACAAGAATGCAAAAAATCCTATCAGAAAATAAACTGAAGAACTGCTTGGTGCAAGTGTCAGACATTTGAAGTTTTGCGGGCTTGCTATTCTATGTTTGGTTAGCACCTAGCACAGTATGACTCTGGCTCACACGGTTCACAATACTAGTGAATAATAAAAATCTAGCTGCTTAGAATAAGATTGTTTTAAAAGGCTGAATGAGTACTTTGTGTGGAGAGAGAATTTTTAAAAAACATGAAATGTATTAAAAACAAAAAAACCTATGAACTTGCAGGTCAAAATTGCATATGCATTGAAGAAGAAATTAACATTTTTCTCAACTACTGTAAAATATCCTGGTTCTAATTGCTGTCAATTAGAATCAAAAAGCATGACTTTATTCCTCTTTAATCCAGTTACTTTTCTTTCTTCTCTATATTAACACATGCAAACATACTGACAAAACATCTTTGTCCACTAACATTAAAAAAAGAAAAACGAACCAAACAAAAATCAAAACAAAAAATCTCACCCCAAACCAACCAACACTCTCATCAGTTTCAGAGAGAAAGTATTTCAGACCTCAAGCTTGCCCTTTGTGTAGACTTCACAATCATGTTTTGAAGTTTCACGCTAATGAAACAACATGGTATTCAAAAAGGGTAGCAGAATATGTTTTATCTAATAGGAAAGTGCTTGTCTATTTCTCAAGACCCCAGAAAACTTCCCTTTTCTCCTTCTTGCACATGATATTGAGCGTCTCCAAAATAATTTATGTTTTGCGCATATGTTCATCAATTCTTTTTCCAAAGTAGTTTCTGTATTTATTTCTCCTATCACTGTCTCTCATTTTTTTCCTAGTAGTCATTGAGCATGCACAGAAGAGGTTTCTGAACACTCAGAAGTGAGGCAAAGAATAACATCCAAACCTACAGTAAACCTTATTTTGACACTGTCAACCACAGAAATTTTTCCAGACTTGTATCCCAAATCTTGTCCTTCTAATAAATTGTTACATTTCATACTTTTTTTCATTTTTCTTTTTTTTAAAGGAAAATATATAACTATTACACTTTTATTTAAATATAATACACTTTTATTCTAAAAAAACCACCCTGACAAGGGGGGTCTATTATTAAAAACAAAACAAAAAAAGGCATTACAGTCTAAAAATATTAGTCATTTTATAGTCCTCAAGATATTTTTATTACTCAAGATTTCAAGGAAAAGTTGTGTACTGGAGTAAGACAAACTTACAATGAATGAGTATGGAGAACAGTATTTTGACTCTAAACAAATATGCACTAGTGATCTTAAAGTACAATGTGCACTAAAACTTATTCACACATAAAACAATTCATGCTCTTCACGTGTAAAATACTGTGAAAAATAAGATGGAAGAAACTGGATAGGAAAACATTCGTGTATCATAAAAATATGTTAGAATGGGACTTATCTATAGAGTTAAAGCTTTGCTTTAAAACAAACTTTATTTAAAAATCTTCTTTTGCTTTATCTAAAAATTAGCCTTTCTATAAAAACCATTCCTTTAAAACTTTGCTTTAAAAACATCAGTTTTATATTAGACAAAATATTAAATTATATAGGCACAATTAGTTAAGAGGGCTATAAGAACTTATATTATAACCCTTCATTTTCCAGTGACTTGCAATACAGTCATAAGATTCTGTGTCTACTGACAACCATAGGAAAATTCATCCATAGAAATAAACTTTTATTTAAAAAATAAAATAAATTAAACCAAACCAAATAAATCTGTCAGACCATATTTGACTTGTAAAGGAACTTCCCAGCTGACACATGCACATCTTCTTTTTAACTTGGGAAATATGCATATACATTAAAAAGATCCCAAAAATATTCTTTGAACATGTGGTTTATGATGACAGCTTTTATATTTCCTTCACATACTGTATATTAAAATAAACCATTTCCAAGTCCACCTTTATCTCAGTCCAAATCAGTGACCCTTGACACTTCAGAAAATGAATTAAGAATAGTTTTGTTTTCTGAGGGGAAAATGCACATACACCATGTTCACTGGCAGAAACAGCAGAGTCTGAGCTTTTCCATGTTTTTTGTATGTTCTGAAAAACATATTGTACCACTACAGAATATACAAAGACCTCTAAAGTAAAATAGATTATATAATATACCAAATGGAAGCTTTAAAAACCGAAGTCCTGATTGTGATGATGTTTAATTACGTGCTTAACTTACTACAAATAAGCAATTAATCTTGGGTTTTAGAGCAAAGAGACACCTGCAAGACTGGGGGTTATGTCTCCTAAACACATTAAATAAGCTATCATAACAACTATTAAAAAAAGAAAAAAACTAAACTAAAATACCATGGGGATTTTTTTGCCATAAAACCATAGTGGTTGGAGCATCAGTGGCCAAGCACGAATCTCTATGGAATATAATTTTAATTCACCTAAATATTTAAAAAAAAATATTTGAACTCTAATACATTTACGTGGAAGATACTTTAGGTTTATTTAAATATTTTACTGAAAGCTTCAACTCTAGTCCATAAAAATTTAACCAGTAGTACACCCAATTAAAGTAAAAAATCACAGAACCCCAAACTTAAAGTTGACGTTCCAGAACAACCCAAAGCTATTTGTTTGCATTATTACTTTTCCATTCCCCCCACCAAGGAATGTGAAATTCACCTATAAACTTTATCAATAAGCTACTAAAAAACAAACAAAAAACCCCCAAATCTAAGCCTATATTTCTTTTGGAATTTGAAATTTCACTTTAGCCACCACCATTTGAACAGTTCCCTAAAGAGACATATTTCCTTACCAACATGGTCCATTATTGCTTGATGAGAACCCACAGTGACTTTTTGTTCAAAACAACTGCTTTGGACATGGTTTCAGGAAAAAAGTCAATACAAAAATGTGTAAAATTACATTTCATTTCAAGAAAGCACTGAATTGATCTGAATTGTATCATACTGTATTAATTTTAATGCCATTCCACAGGCAAGTATATATTACGTGTTGAAGAAGGTGCACATATACACAAACACAAAATACATACACAGAATTCAGCCCAAATTCATGTATCTTCATTTAATTTCTAGCATAACAACCAAGTCATTTTTTGCACTTTAGAATTATGTGAAGAAATTAAATTAGGCACAATTAATTAACACAGCTTCTAAATTACCTTATTATAGTGCACTGTCACGCACTGATAATACCATAAAACCAATATGATACTATTCAAGGTCATTTTGCTGATGTACAGGTGAAGTCTAGTAAATAGGATTCTAAGTGCTTTTAACTCAAATCTACAACTTCTGCAGCTTTACACAGCAGAACAGTGCAATACATTATGTCCCCACATTCCAGGAACAAGAGCCGAGTTTACAGTTGTATTTGTTTCACATTAGACTGGCTTTGCACTTTCTGGAGCTCTAGCACTTCAACTGTGTTGTCCACGACCTCCTTTTTTCCCCTTTCCTTTTTCCAGGTGCTGGCTATAAAAAAAGAAAAAAAAAAGTTCTTTTGGTAGCTAGCTCTCACCTGGCAGAACAAGACAGTTTCGAAGTAACGGTACAGCAGTTGTTCTTCGAGAGGGTCGGTTCACAGTGCTAGGATGACCCCTATCTCCACTTACTCCCCAGTTCCTGACTTTGGAGGAAGCTTGCTCTGGTTTCTTGGGAAAAGACTCTGATGTGACTTTCTGCCTCTTTACAGGAATCCCTGTTACAACTGTTGAGCTCAGAAAGGCCCTTTTTGGTTTACTCCTCACCTTTAATTTTTTAGCATCAGGCTTTTCTTTCTTAGGGTGCTTTCCCACTGTATTCTTCCTTGTCTGGCACCTATGGATGGAGAAAGCAGATTTCTGGGCACGAGGATGAAGTTGTCTTCTCAACCCCTCTTTTTGCTGTTTTTTAGTTCGGGAAGTCTGTTTGCCTGCGGTTACTCTGTTTCCTCTCCTCCCAACAGTACATGTGACAGATTTAGATCCTGAAGCCTTTCTGGAAAAAACTGGTTCTTTATTAGTGCCTTCTTTTCTCTTCCATATTGCCTTTGGATTCTCCCTCTCTAACCACTCACTCCTGATGGAGGTCAGAGGAGTTTTGGTAATTCTATTAAACGGAATTAATCTACAATCTCCTTCTACCACAGAGTTCAAAGGTGAAATGATCAAGTGTTTAAAAGAGTTCTCAGAGTGACTAGACGCAAGACAATCTGTTCTTTCTGTGGAAACAGAAGATCCATCTGCCTTTTGACTTGAGGCTGCATCATTCCCTTTATCTGGATCTGTCAGGAAAGATGCTGAAGATGAACTATAGTAGTCTGACCAATTGAGTGACTTTGATGGCATGCTTTCTTTCTGTGCATCCGCTAGTTTTTTCATGTTTGCATCAAAGTTGAGGCTTCTGAAAAGCTGTCGAACGTGGGAGGGCTTTTTGGCCTTTTCTCCAACTGTACTCTTCGGAGGTGTTTTCAGAATTCGATTTGTCAGTGGGTCATAATACTTGAAAGAACACTGTTTGTATTTATACCTTACAGAGTCCTTGCTATCTGCGGAGTTTCGATTTTTCCTCATTTTGGAAGTATCTACAGGTTTACCTTTACACTGTTTTACCTCTGGGCATGAGAGTACATACACCACTGTCTTGGGTTGTACAGGACTCATAATCTTGCTGTAGGACTCTGGAAGTTTAAGGGCACATAGTCTAGTTTTCATGTTTGGAGTTTTTTCATTCTCCAACCATGTGATGCTTGCTTTCTGATCAGCTGGATCAGATTCTCTTCTACACATCTTCTTTTTTGCTACAGGGTAGTTCAGTAGACTTGTTTGGGTGCCGTGGCTGACTTTAACCACCTGGCATCTTGAAGCAAGGCGCCATGTCCTTTTCCTAGGCATTTTAAGTATTTGTGGTTTGCATAGTGTATCTGAGGCTAAAGATGGGTTATCAAAATCAGAGCCACCACTTAAAGCATCATTAAATTCTGGCAATGCTTTAACTGATGCACTTTCTGTTCTGTTACCCTCAATAACATTGATCCTTTTTTCATCCTTCTGCTTTTTTTTCTTCATTCTCTTCCCTGTACAGTTGGCTGATGATTCACTGTCAAAGTAGCAGCGAAAACGACCCTCCTTGAAATCACGCACAAGTTCTTCAATTTTTATATCATCTTCATACATTATTTGAGACCAAGTCTTTCCCACAAAAGAAGGAGGCACATGAGGCAGAGCTGGAAGAACTGGTTCTTCAGTATGAACTATGACATCCTGTTTCACTGCTTCTGTTTTCTCTACTGACTCAGTTTTTAAAACAGAGCAGAGCTGTGTTCCGTAGTCTTTATCTTGCAAACTTACTTGGACCTCTTTTAGGAATTCTATATCTTTTATAGCTGCCTTGGGTAAGTCTGTTCCTGCCTGTATTGGTGCATCACAGTCAAAACTCATTTCAGAGCCCTCTAAATTAGTATGGTCCAGAAGTGATGAAAAAGTTAAACAGGGATTATTCTCTTCTGTGATATAAATTTCTTCAGATGTAGTTTCATGGCAGTATTTCAAAATTACATCTTCAATAGTTTCATCCACTGAACTTCCATCATCTCTGTTTGTCTTCACGTTTTTGCATCTTGCTAATTGTGGGGATGTCCCAAGATCTAGGGAGCTGCTGATACCCACAGTATCCCTGAGATGGAGATCAGACACCAAAGTTTCATCCTGAGTTCGTAAACTATCTCGCTTTGAGAGAGATTGACCTGAGGTAATAAATAAAGAATTGCTGTGGCTGCATGTAGGATTCTGATGAGAAACTGAAGGGCATTTTGGGTGAGCCAGTGCTGGAGCAGGATTCAAGCATGGGTTCAATAACACATCACTACTGCAGGTCTTCGTTGCCCTTTCATCACACCCACTACGGAGAAACAGATTTGACGCTGCCAAATCCCTAACATTTTTTCCTGTTTTAGGATTAACAGAAGAACTGTGGATTATAGGACTGATGGAAAATTGCTGAGGTACGGGGCTCACAGCTGTAAACTGACCTTCATGGCTATGATTTGCATTTTTCAGAGCAACCCATTTCTTATCGCTACAGATGCCAACAGACTGCTGGGATATTCCTGGAACACGCTCCTGGCCTCTTTCTCGTTTTTGAAAAGCTGCTTGTGTTACAAAAGTTTTCTTTGTGCCCTCACGAGACAGGCATGGAGCAGAAGAGTGTATTTCACCAATGGACTCCTTGTCTTTGCTGGAAGTATCCTGTGTGTCACTGTTTCTTTTTTTCTGCATCTCTATTGGGGACAGGCAAGAAATCCTAGGAGCCTCCAGAGTGCTGGGGAGTGGCATGTCATCATATGTTGGTCTAAAAGGGAGGAGAGGGAAAAAAAAAAATCAGCCTATATAAATACTGTAAACATACTTAAGATTTTTCAAACAATAGCAATGGGGGGGGTTTAAGAGTAATTACCTAGAGTGCATCACTTCTAACAAACAAACTCAAATTACCAGCTCTGCTACATTAGCAAAGATCGTGAATTTTAAAAAATTATGAAGAGGGAAGGGGGAATGTTCCACAAAGCTAATTTGGCCATTAGTCTGTTACCCTCTTCACGCCACCATCAATTAAGAATGGTCAAACATAGATTATGATAATTTTATTAATACGGCAAAGGAAGAAAATGTAAAGGTATTTCCTTTGTTTGAACTTGTAGACTATAAAGAGGTTATTTCACTGGTCATACTATCATTAATTAAAATTGAGAAATTGAAAAAATTCTTTTGTAGAGAAACTGAACATAATAATACAACACAGTATAAAACTGCTATTGAGTATAAATGCCCTTTTCCCTACAAAACGTGGCTGCCTGATAGGAACCCTGCACATGTTGCCAAGGAATTCCATGCTTACTGTTTCTCACAGACATACCACAGCTTCTGACTCACTTCTGTAAGAAGCCAAGTTATGATTGTTCAGCCCCACTGTGACAACAGATTTTTACATATTCTGTAACTGGCAGTTCTGTCTTTAGGACTGCCTCAAATACAAGGGTTTGTGTCTTGTAGAATTAACACAACTGACAGATAACGACTATTTCTCTTATGCAACACAGGAACCCACAAGGCTTTGTTATGTAGCAGCTGGGCAAATCCAATTAAAATAATTTTAAAAATAAGTAAATATAACCGAAGAAAAGAATATCATGTTTCATTTGAAAGTTATAATGAGACTTTGTGAGACACAAATGGATGCTTATCTTAATAAATGTCAGACATCAGCTAACGGAAGTATCATGAATAAATTTCATTGCACAGGAATTTCCTTAGTTATATAACTCAGAGTACATACAGCTCAGGGTTATAGGACTGATTGAGCAAGAGAAACTTCATATAATGAAACATTAAAAAGAGGATTATTTCTATTACTATGTAAATGCAAAGTAATCAAATACATTAGATGATCAAACAATGCCTGCCAACTGAACTGCTGTGCCCTACTGCTACATGAATTCTTGGCCACCTAAGCTCTGACACAGGACCTAAGGGGAAGGTCAAAGGCAGTAAAAATAATTCTTTAACTTTCTCACTTAAAAGTTCTTCCATCTTTGTGTGAAACACCTGGAATCTGGACACTCCTGAAAGACTCAATATAGGACTAAATGGATTTTGATATAAATAAAATATAACAAATTTATAGGTTTATAGCTCAGTTAACAACCTACATTCACTTTTCAAAAATAACTTACAAGCAAATGTCTCTGGGGTGGAGGAAACAGAACTACAGTTTTATACAACTAGGTACTTCTGACAGTTTTGCTACAAATTACCCCCAAAAGCAGAGGGAAGATTTACTCTCTTAAATGCTCAGTATTATTTCTTTATGTAAAAAACTTATACACCAAGAGTTTGGAGGAAGGAATGATTTGGAAGTTTGTGTGTATCTGGTTTTGGTTTAGTTTGTTTTTTTTACTGGGGGAGGGACAGAACAACAATATCCTTTGAAATTCAGTATAAGGCAAAGCTCTGATGAATTTTTCCACATAACTACTAGGTATACTGATTCTGCAAAACAAATCAAGACTCAGAAATATTTCCATAATCTTTTAAAATGACACTCTAAAGATCCCTTGTGTGAATTCAGCTAAATAGTAAAACCAGTTATTTAAAGAACTGAGCGTAAACTGTATATTAATCCAAAAGTTTTAATGTGAAAGAAGAGAATCCAATTCTTACCTCAGATATCAGTTAAGACCATGACTTTTTTTTCAGAGCAGGACCACAACATAAATCTATTCACGCTCGCTTTTCCATCTTTGCTTTTCTTCCTCCAAACTCTGTCTAGATTTGGGATTACTCTTCCCTCTTCTTCCTCCAACTTCATCTAGATTTTGTACATTATTTTTCTCATTCCATTCCTTCTTCCAACCACTTAGAGGAACATGGGTAGCTTGTTTTTCCTAGTTAGTAGGTTTCATCACCAAAGGAATAACCTTGTATTAGTGACACCTCAAGAGAGGGCTTTTTTCATTTGGATGTTGCCTTAAAGCAAATCTTATATTTTCTCCATGGCAAAAAATTGTGGATGTTCTTAAGAGGTTGGGTTTGAATTTATTTATTGAAGATGGAAGGATTAATTTATTTATTTGTAGTGATGTGTATATGCCCTGGGCTATTTTGGCATAGACATGCATATTAACTTATTTTGTCACATCCCTGATAATATCAATATGACTGCGTTCAGACAAAATACCCTTCTATTCTACCTCATTCTTCTAGAATGAGATTTATTTTCCTTCATCTACAGAGAAAAACCTAACACATTGACCCTCTTATCACTCTTAAAACATGCACACGATAAATAAAGAGAACACTTTTCAAAATCTGAGCATTAATTAATTGGCCAATTAATGTAATTCAAGTATTAACTGAACATGTGAACTGCAAGGATGATAAAATAAACATGTAAATATTTACCTGAAGTTATTCACAAACAACAAATGAAAATAATGAACTCTTTCAAAACATACCATAAAATCCACTGCTAAACATATATATTAAGCCCGGAATAATAACATTTATAATAAAATATATAAAGCTCAAATTATAAGAATTTGTAAATGTATATGAGATTGTACAGTCTGCCATTACACCTGTTGACCCATACACTCCACCTTTTTTTAGGTCTTCACATTTAAATGCTATCAGTAGTGTTGTCCCAAATCCTTAAGTAGTGAAAAAGTTTAAAAGTGAAGAGACAACACAAAAGCAATACACTTGCATGATGTTTATCTAAGTACACTTTTTTCTAAATTGTCTTCATTGAAAAAGTTTCAACTCAAATGGGCAAAATTTACTGGTCAGCAGTATAAAAGAAACAGGAATTTGTAATACATGCATTTGAACAACATACACTAAAAAAAAAAAAGCCATCTGTATTATACCTGTTGTCATGGTATCTGTGAGGATGATGCTGTAAAACATCTTGCAGGAAACGCTCCATCAAGCTACTGGTACCTGTACGATTCCTACAGTATGTGGTAAAATGTCTGTGCTGGGAGCTGAAAACATGCTGGTGAAAGATAAAACAGAAGATTAGTCTAATACTACTGTGAACACATTGGCCTATTCCTAAAAATTACTTCCCAGGTTAAATCTTTGCTATGAAAATATTTAAATAAAAAGAAAAGTCTTCAGCCTTTTCTACTTTACAGCCTTGATTAATAGAGATTTTTAAGCGTGCTTAGGAAATCTCAAATAATACTAAAATGTATTGAAATATCTTTCTGAGTTGGAACTTAAGTTAATGATTCTGATAGGTGCTGACAAATCTCTTGTAAGTAGTACAAATGCTCTCACAAATCTCACAGCTGCTCACAGGTCTCTTAATTAGAACAAATACACTAAATGTTTCTATAGATGACAAAATATTCTTGAACTTCATATGAGTAAACATTCTATAATTCACTCTAATTAACAAGGATTTTCATAAGTGTAGAAGATTAAATAGGCTTCTACTTTCTAATTAAAAAATCTAAAAGACAAGAGACTGATACAGCTAAAGAACAGAAAATAGTTGATCAAATGTCTTTAGCCTTGATATCAAACATATTACTATAACCTTAATAATTTACAATACATACAGAACTCAAGACTAAAGACATTGAAATAAATGTAATGGATGCAATGCACAGCAGTGCACTGCTTCAGAAAAGAAGACTGTAGCAGCCATGCCACTTCACCAGCATCTTTTTAACAGGTAACAGACAAGAAGGGTATCTTTTTCTCAGTGCACACATTTTGCAATTCAAACTGCTTATTTTTCACTCAGTATTAGTTATTCAGTGTAGCAGCTGATATTTTAAAAGCTGATAAAGCCTTTTGGTACTCCTTGCTATCTGTTGCTGAATTGTGCAGAAGCCATCTCACCTGTTCCAGATTACTGTAGTGTACGTGGCAACAGTTGCAGTACCCTTGTCTACTTTGCACAGTGGATACTCCAGGCCAAGCATGTTCTTGCCCTCTTGCTTGTGAACTGAAAGAAGCGCGTAATATTACCAAGACATGTTGGGTTATTTAATGCATGTCCTTAATGTGGAAATCCTAAATACCTATCTTACCACAGCGATGGAACAAACTTGCAAGATAAATGTTTCTATTTCAGAATTGCAATGACAATTAGGACTATGTATTTTAAGGTATTCCCAAGCAAATTTCACTGGAGAAACTTTTCTTAAATGCAGAACAAAGAATAACAGCTTGAAGGCACAGTGGGTTGAAATTTGAAAAGAACTGCCTCTACGGAAAAGGCAGAGTCATCTTCTCATTCTTCTATTTCTTAGTATTTTGGAAAAAAAAATACCGAAGATGCCTGACACTCATACATTAGTTTTGGGCACTACAGTGTACTTTCCCCACAAATTTTAATAGTGTTTGGTATAAGATACAGAGGACCTCCATCACAAGCTTATTGTGCCTCACTGTCATCTTTTATACAAGACAACAGATAAGGCTGAAAAGCAGATTCTTGCCAGTTTACCTTGGTAAGCATTAAGCTAGATACCAGTCAGATCATTACCTAACTTACCTGCTACTGCTGTCCTGTCGTAGAGAGCCTTCAGCACCATGTCTTTGGATTCCTACAGAAAAACAAAACCAAAACAACCAAAAAATAAAACAACCAAACACATATACAAAACAAAACACAAAAAGCAACAGAATATCAAAGAAATGGAGATAGTTTACCTGCAACTAGCTACTTCTCTTACATTGCATTTGTCAAAATTACTATTCTAAAGGAAGGTAAAAAGTTTAGTAAGTTCAAGAATCCTTTTGTTCTCAAAGTCCATCCAAGAGCTTCACTCTTTCATGGCTGAGATGAGTGTGAATTTTTCTACTGATTTGTCTGGGTTCAAGACTAGGCAATCTACATTGGTATTCCTACATCTGTGATCAATGAGATAAAATGTAACATGTATTAAACAGCTTATAACAGGACAAGACAATTACAGCTACATGGAAACTCTTTGGATTATTCAGGAGTCAGTCCTTCCATCCAAGTTCCATAATGGAATTTAGGAAATCAAATTATGCAATACAAGGTAATCTAATGCTTATACTGATAATTTTTTTTTTAAGAGTAACTATGTCAAAAACATCTACTTTGAACTTCTCACCCTGTGCTGAAGAAGCAGAAGCTTCATCAGATCGTCTGATTCTGTCAAACATCTGCAAGCAAAAAACAAAAAAACCTGAGTTATAATAATAATTAATATTACATCTAACAATGTTAGCATTGCTAGCTTTTGTAATGTTAGCTTTGCCAGAAGGGCCTAACTTCTGATCTAATTAATGAAGTCAAATACTATACTTATGAACACAGCCCAGACTATGATAAGTTATTAAGCAATAACCTTGTCAAATTAATTTAATTACTTAATTTCCTAAGTTGCTTTTACAATTAAGAGATATATGCTAATAAAAACCATACAGGAAAGACCTACACCACACAACATAATCATCCAGGCTGGAAAAGCAATCCTGATTGATTGAAAGATCTGCAACTCAAGTTCGAAACTCACAATTTTTAATTAAAATATGACTGCAGCAACATGTGTTTACATGCTTTACGGCATCCAAACCCAAAGGGCTTCCGAGTGTCACACAGTCCCTTTACATTATGGAATGGAAGCACAGAATCTACGTACCTTAGACTCACCAGCCTTCTTCATCCACCAAAGCTGACTCCAGACTAGCAAACAATCAGTGTTGAACAGGAGGCCATTTGCAGTGCAGGACAGGGGTTTTTTTCATCCCATCTGGCAACAAGGAAGTTAAAGAGCCTTTTAAATCAGAGTTAATAATGCATGTTTTCCATGCCCTAAGGCATGTAAATTTTTCTGTATCACTTTGCAAACATGTCAGTCAATAAAGTGGATAAATCTTTCTGAAGTCTGCAGTACATTCTTCTGTTTAATATGGAAGTCGTTTTGACAGTCTTTCCTACATTAATGTTAAACACTCCTTCTGGAATAACTTCGTTCCTTCTTTCTTCCTTGCAGCCCCCATGTATTAAACATTATTGTCATTTTGGATGCTAGCACTCGTGAAATAAAGTATACTGCTACAATAACAGAAAACAAATTCCTTAATACTAACCAAACTGCAATGAATCTATTTTGTAGATCATTCATGAAACTGCTCAGAAAAACCATGTCTTATTTTGCTTATGTTACATGAGCTAGTTAGATAGTGCATAATATCACAGTAGAATGGGTGTTCAAAACATTTTATAATTTAACTATTATATACTCAATGAAGTATTATCATTAGCATAACAGACAGGAAAACAGAAAGGCTACAGTAACTTGCACAATCACTGTCACTAGCATCATCATATCCTGCTTCCAAACTCAGGGCTTAGCAAGTCCAAGATCTGCTCTTCGCTTACCATTTCTGTAATTATGTGATAACAAAGTTTCAAATCAACCACTTTTATTTTTTATCTTTTATAAACTGTCTTAACAAGACTCATTCCTTCCCTTCTCATTTTTTGTTCTTGTATATGCAGAAAAGTTGCTCCTATATGAGGCTACATACCATCAAGCTTGACAGATGTGTGGTTTGTTACTTGTTTTCTTTAAACTTGTTTTGTTCTTTCCCAGACTATGAATTGCTGATTATAAAATACCCAGGTTGTTATAGCAGTTATGGTCAGAAGGAATATCACAGTAGCTCAACTTTAAACACACACCCCCCCAAAACCACAAAACAATCCACACAACCGAAACACCAGACTCATTCTCCTCCCCACAGTGTATCAATTTATGTAATAATATTAAAAAAACAAATAAGCAAGAAACCCCAGTTGTTCTTATAAGCCTTTTCATCAGGCAACTGAGAAAAGCCATATTGATAGAACAACTTATCTCAGCCGTCCTGTTATGTGTCCTACACACAGCCAGGATCCAAAAGAAAGTAAAGGAAAAACACAGAAGACTATCTTTCACGAATGATGTTTTATGTAAAATAACTTGTTCTATGCGCTTGAGGTCAACTTATCAATTTTTTAAGTCTTACTGTGCACACATAATCTTATGACAAAGCAAAAAGTGTGGCAAGAGCACAGGAACCACAGAGGAGGCACAGACAGGGCAGTCAGACAGCAGTTCCACAGCCAGAAGTGGCTCCACTACCACTCATCTCCATCCACTGCCCCAAAAGGGGATTAAAGCACCTGATATACAAATGTCTGATTTCATCTCCGAGACGCCAGGCAGTGGGAACTGCAATGTGCTGGAGGATAACTAAGACAGCTTGTTACTTTCTTATTTCAAGGACTAATTTCAATGGTGGTGTGCTACTGAGAGTTCACTCAGCTGCAAGTACAACGCACATTTAAACTGAGCTAGGAGAAAAGTAACTTTAAACAGGACAGGACTATGAAAATAACTATACTGAACTACTCCAGTCTGGATCTCCTTGTCATCTTTTTACAGTTCAAGGAGATTCAATGGACCAGATTTTCTCACCTGGAGGGGGATTGTGCTAGGTAAAAGTTGTAAATGCCCAGCTATTGCTTAGTAACTGACAGAAAAACATCAGAGGAAGATCTTTCAGGGATATTCTCCTCTCGTACAAAGCTGCCAATAGAAGAAAACTTCTTTTCCTTATATCAGTTTTTTTTAAGAACACTAGCATACAGGAAAAAGAAATAAGTCTGAACTCTATACACATCTTGCTTACCATCTGAAGTCAAGTTCAAACCACAAGACAGTAATGTGAAGGAAGTCTGTTATGTAGATGCCTTATTTAATTTGCCAAAATCTGGACAGCCTAACTGTAATCCTTACTTTTTCAAAACAGAAACTACAGCTATAAATTCACAAATGATTTTTCAGATGTCCAGGCAAAGACTGCAAAATTCTACATTAGTTGAGATACTTTCCCCTATAAATATCATAAACTGTTGGATTAAAAAAGTAAATTATATTTGTTCGAAACTTAGCTTAACCATTTCTTCACCAAAAAAACATGCTATAAATTTTAACAAATGTAGAAACAACTGGATAGACACAGAAGTGTTTGATTTGGTAAATTTCTATCCAGGTTACTTTAGCAGCTGTTTCCAACATCAGTGCTTCATTCTGGTTTTACTGAATTACACTGCGTACAGCAGCCAAAGAATGAAATACCTCAGATAATCATATTTAAAAAGAAAAATCCACAAAAAGGCAACCAAAAAGCATGAAATGTACACATTAAAAAAAACCCCCACACTCAAACCAAAACAAAAAAAAAAACCCAAAACCAAAACAAAAGCAGTGGTTATGATAGTATCTCAGTATCAAAGGCATCAGATAAACTCTCCAGACAGCGTCACTCTTGCACTGCAACAGGTAACATAAAAAGGGTAAAAAGCCAACCAAAACTGCTCCTCGAAAAACGCCTCACGAAAGCCTGTAACGCCCCTTCACCTGCGAGCGACTGTGCTGGGCAGGCAGAGGGAGAACCAGGGGAAAACTCTCCCCTAAACAAAGTGACTTGCCGTCCCACAGCACCACCACAAACAGGGAGCCTGTAACTCATTCCAGGAACGGCCTTTGCCCCACGGCCGCACCGCACCGGCCCGGGGTCCCGGCCCCGCCGCGCCGTGCCCGCCTCGCCTCGCCCCGTGTCCCGCCCGGCCGCCGCCAGCGGGGCGGAGCCGCAGGGAGCCCGCGGGGCCGGGTGGTGCGGAGGGGCCGGGGCCGTGCCCGGCCGTGCCCGGGGCTGCCCCGCCCGCCGGGACCCGCCGAGCGCTGAGGGAGCGCTGAGGGGACGCTGAGGCGGACGCGCGCGCGCAGCCCAACCGCTCCCTGGGCTGCTCCCGGTCCCTCCCTTCCCAGTGCCGTCTCACCTCCATCACTCCCCGTTAGCTCTTCGGTGTCGCGCTGGGGTCAAGGGACGCCATCCTATGCTTCCTGCTCCGGGTCGGCGAGCCGCGCCCCGCGAAGGGAATGGCGGGAGCCACGGGTTCCCGCGCAGCCGCTCCCTGGGCAGCGCGGGCTCCTCCCGCCCGGAGCGCCCAGCTCCGCCCGCCGGAGCTCCTGGTGCCGTGCCATCTGTTAGCGCGGTTCACACCGAGCCCGAAAAGCCCCAGTTCCTTCAGAACACTGCGGGGCGGCGTCTTTTTGTCAGCCGCAGTGATTCTGGTTGGGAAGTAACCTCTTAGCTAAGTTTCACTTCAACAATTGTAATAGTTGTTTTCTCGTTCAAAATGTATTATTCCATGTGCTTGAGAGCAGGCTGTAGAGTTTACCCTTTTTTTTAATTTTCAGCCGTTAAAAGTAGCTTGTTTTTCACGGTGTGCCTTGTTTAGGTAGGGTTTATCAGAAAGTTACAGTCTGACTTCATCAGAGTTAATGATGCCAGATCAGCTTTTCTTATAAGTGGGCTTGAGAATGCGATGTTAGCTCGGGTTCTCTTATTTTCAGCTGTAGGTTTTTGAACGTTTATCTAATCTCCCGTGGGAAACCAGCTATTGCATATTTCTCTCGTTATGCTGAAGCAGCAGGAATTTTTAAGCGATCTGGGCAGACACCAAGTCAACACAACACCCTTATGTGTGAAGACAGGTGCAGATACAGGCTTGGATTGTGCAATGGGGGGAAAACAATCTTAAATGAGCCTTAATATCGAAAATTTAGAGAGGCTGTTCTGTGGTTATGAAACCATAGCTTAGAAATGTCCACCCACGCTCAAAAAGTAATTGAACACAAATCTCAAATGACAGATGAGCAGGAGAAGGCTTCTCTTTAGGAGGGCTGAATTTAGTTGCTGTTGAATTCTTTTAATATGTGCAGAGGTATGAATATATCTTTATTGCTCAAAAATTATTATTATAGGACTAAAGTTGCCTGGTGATATTTTGTTATTATAATACACAACTTGGAAAAACAGCAACTTTCTGTGGAGAACATTTACATGCATGAAGGCTCAGGCACGTGCCCAAATTATTGCATGTCAGCACAGCTGCATTGTTTAAACATGTGGCAAACACATATATAGACATGTTATCTGAGGTTAAAATAGTTTAATTTTATGGTGGTTTACAATAGGCTTAGTGATTTTCTGTGGCTCGGCTAACCCTTCGTAACTTGTTGAAACAAAGTAAGCTTAGTTACATAGCTGAGGCACTGATGTTTCTTTTCCAGAATGGCTAATGTAGAACAGAAGTCCTTCTTAGCAAAGACAAAGCACTATACAGTCTGTCTTATGATGCCATATAACTTCTCCTCAAAATGTTCCTGAATATTTTTGCAAGGATAGAATGTAATATTCTATGTCTTGGACTGCCACTCAAAGTGGCTTGTGTTGCCAAGTATTTCTTGGCTTTCAGCTCTTTCTGTATTTATGAACTTGAGGTTGCACCTTGATTCAAACTCAGTTAAGATACTGAGAGATACTCCTTTACCTCAGTCTCCTCTTCCCCCCTAGGAAACTACTCCTCACCTATGTACATGAACACTGAGTAGGGCTGACAAACTTCCTTTCCCCTTTAAAAATTATTCTCTCTCCTGGTCTGACTTTTCTCACACTTTTTCTCTTTGGTGGTATCTTTGCTTATCTATTGAGTTTCTATAAACTGCCCCATATACCTTTCACTGCTTTGCTTTCTACTTCTACATTGATTTGTTATTTAGCCAAATATAAGTCAAAGGTGTACCTGTTAAAATATTAAGACAAATTGACAAATGCAGACAACAGCTATTTTCCTCAAGAGTCTCAAATTGCTTCCAGCATCTGGGTTCAGATTTGAAAGGGAGAATGTGATGAAAGAAAACCAAGGTTTGTAAAACTGGCTGGCAGGAAACTCTTGGCTAGATTTTTAGTTTGTTGCATGTGTACTTTTTACATTGTGATGTTATAAGCCTAATTTATCCTTATATTGTTGTTTTGGTAAAGTTCTACAGAGGGTTTGAGCTGAGTGTTGACTGACAGCAGTTGAGGTCTGGGGTTTGACCCATGCAGAGATTACTTTTGCCAAATGTTCACAAAAATGGGTTTTTAGTTCTAGACTGGATTGTAACAAGCACTGCAACTTTCAAGGCAGTCTGAGTACCTGTGTAGATTTTAGAGAACTTCACATTCTGAGTAACCTTGGGGAAGAAGGATCTTTTCAAATTTATAGTAGAATGGATGTTTCATAATGCCTGGCACTATATTAAAACCTTTAATTACTGTGAAGTAATTGTTGTCTTTCTCTGAAAAATTTGATGCTTGCCACTGCCTGATATCAGATACCAGACTAATGGAGCAATTATCTGATTCTCTATGGTATTTCAATTTTCCTCCTTAGTATAAATTCTGTGATTATTAAATAAAGGTTTTCAAAGTAAAAGAAAATAACTCCTCACCTGTGTAAAAGGCAAGAATAACCTCTTCTCAAAAGAGAGCTTCTTGTTTTCTTTGCTCTGCTTTACTCAAACTGTTTGCCGGGTTTGGCAGAGTGCTATTACACATTGATTTTTCTCTATTAAAAGCACTTTTCTCATTTTTGAATGAAAAACATGTTTTTTAAAAATAATAATGGTCTTTTATTTACTTTGCTATGGCACTGGAATTAAATGCAAACCAAAAAGACAAACAATTCTTAAAATTCTTTTTTTTTTTTTAAAGAGAATCCTATCTTACAAGACGACAATCTTATTATGGGCATTCTGCTCACACTGTCATTATCTAAAACTGAACTTTTGTTTTGTACTCACAGTTTTTTAAATTTTATAATAAGAGCTTTACCTGAGTTAATAATAAAAACATCCACAATATGCGGGATATTAGCTTAATCCTCAAACTTAAAGGATAATCTAAAAGTTGTTCTTTCTATTTTTCATTCTCTTGCCAGAACTACCTTTTGAGATTAAAAATTGACAACTTAAATTTTCATTTTAATTGCTTAATCATTTAATCAACCAAAAAGTTGTGTTATAAATGAAGTAAGATTGGATAGTGACCAAGAAAGAAGTTTCAAATATCTTTTGAAACTGAGAGTGTTTAAAAAAGCACTTTTGAAATATGTGTACCAAGAATTTTCTCCAAAGAATATTATTTTACTTTCTTATAATTGGATCTTAAATTTTTAAAAGGTTACTGGAAGCACTTCACAGTGTGACTCTTTTTGCAATATCTTATTAGAAGCAAATCTTCACCTTGTCTGTTTTTTACTCTTCTTCAGAGGCCATGCTGGTGTTTTCACAGGCTTATGTTGTCAGAATTTGTGGAGTTTACACATTTCTTTTTCACTAAAATTCCTCTCTATATTATATTTCTGTATACATGTACTTTGGAGAATACAGAGATTTTTATTATAATAGTGCTGAGCAAAATTCTGGGATATGCTGATCCCAGAGTGGTTTATTATTCAGGGTGTTTTATTAATTGCTGTTAGAGCTGCTGTTGCTGTTCATTTGCTGGCAGGTCATCCAGAAGGAACAGCTGATGAGACAACTCTAAGTGTGTCACTTTGAACAGTATGTCTACAAAATTTATCCAAATCCAGTCTTTTCAGAAAGTTTCTGCAATATGGGCTACTAATGATCTTACATTAGATTTCAAATTCATACCTTGGCATTGCTGCAATTGTTTTGAATCTCTCCATTACCTTAAATCAACATGTTTTTAGGACCTTCTGTACCAAAAGAAAATGTAAAGAAATTAAATCAGCAGCTGAGAAGTTTGAATGCTGAAAGAACATTCTGCTCTCAGAGAACATCTTTCATCATAAAAGGCTGAATAGTTTACTGTTACATTCACAGTAATTTCTGTTTTCAGTTAATGATTGTTCAGTCAGTTCATCTCTCTGAAATAACTCTATTTTTTTAGGGAAGTGACACAAAGAAAGGTCAGAAAGTGGGTTTGTGGTAGCCTGTAGGTCACTGCTCAGGAATTGCAGGATATTCTTTGACCTTCATGTTGTGCATGGAGGTTTTTATAGCTTCAAAAATAACAATTCCTTAGAATTTCTCTATTCTATTTTGCCATTGTTTCATACTTATTTTCAAAAATAACACTGATTTTAAAATTGTCTGATTGATATAGTCAGTTTGGCCTCTGAGAATTGCAAAGTTTTCATGTAGAATTGTTCATTACCAAATTACTTGGAACTATATGATAATTTCTGACATGTACATACTGGAAGATACAGTGGAAAGTTGTAAAATTACTCCATTTTCCCATGCTGAAGATAACTCTGCAACCTGAGAGCCTTCAGCTCTGAAGGGAACAGAAAGACCAAGAGGTTCTTGGGTTAACCACAGTCAGATGCCATGACTGAAATAAACTTACACTCAGCACAGAATTAGTCTCATCTGCATGGCACAGTGTTTTCATTAGCATGTTTTAAACGTCCTTTGTTTCATTATTATAGATAAGGTACAAAAGGAATGTGGATTTTTTAATCAGATGCTAATGTGAAAGTCTTGAAGTATTTTAAATAGGTATGGTAGATGACTAATACTCCCTTCTAGCCCACCTCACATTCTTTCATAGTAGGAACTCCAAGGCATTTTTGCATATGTAATATTAATTCCCATTAGTAAAGCAGGGAATAAGGTCTTTCTGATACAAAGAGATAATTTTCTCAAAGCTTCTTGGAGGGTTATTAATTCTGTTTTTCAAGAATTTTCAAACTCCCAGAAGTTGTGAACCTGCTTTGACCCCTCAGAATGTTCTGAATTAAATGTTCGTATCCATCCATTTCAATGGAACTTTTTTGATTTTAAATGGACAGAGATCAATTTAAGATGATCCTGAATGTATAATACTTTTGCAGCTTCCTTGTCTGTAGTGTAATTTATAGGAGTTAGGGAGTTGCAAATATATATACTATTATGTTGAGTCACTGCATGTTCTGCAGGCAGTTTAAGGTGGGGTCAAAATGTATTCCCAAGGCAGTTAAGTAAGTGTTATTTTCCTCTGCACTGGCTGTTCTAAATCATGTTAAATTTTTTTAATGTTCCCACAATAAACCATGGAAGATATTTTGTTACATCTGCGAGCAAGCAGACTCTCTACTTTGCTTTACTCTGGGAATAATTTAAAGACAGATTTCTTTATCCTATTCAGGAAAAAAGCAGAAAGTTAAACCAGAGAAGTTCTGTGGTTTTCTTCCCGGGGACAAAACTTAATTTTAGGCTAGGAATGCTGATAAGCAAAAACATCAGCCTTTGAAAGAAGCCTCTTTCTCTCATAGTTTGAAAATGTAGAGTTTTTCATGGAAAAATTTGAAAAGAGAGAAAAAGAACTTTTTGTGTTTTTTCAGCATTTCACACACTGTTACTTTCAATCAGAGTTTAGCCTCTCTCTTTTTCTGGTCCATCAGCAAACCAGAAGCCTATTCTATGTTGTTAGATTGTCTGTGTTTCTAATACTGAAGTAATCCAAGTTTAACTTTTGATTTGCACCCAAGCTACATACAATTAGTGTAATTCCCCTTTGCTAGTTTTTCTTCCTGAAATGAAGAAGTAGCTGTTCCCTTCTACACAATCTCCCCTCTCTTGTCTTGAAAGAAGGGACCCTTAAGTATCCTTTACCTAAATGCTAGTTCTAGTCTCTACATTGATGTGAATTCCATATTGAAGTTCCTGCTAACTGCTGAATTTGGGTCACATAGTCTTCTCCAAAAAAATAAATTGCAAAGTGAGAAGGATTTCAAATTTTCCTCTGTGTGTCTTGATAGAGCTTAAGAATTAGAACTAGAATTGACAAATAAATATTGGAGGGATTAGCTGTTTCTTTGCTTAGGCTGATTTCCTATGCCTCATCCTCTGAGCCCACTGCCCATTTATTAGAGATGGTGCTAGTTTTGCTTTCATCGAAGGCAATGGAGGAGATAAGATTGACTTGTATGCTGAGCCCTTAATTAGCAAAGTGTTCTTCAGAGCTTCTAATAATTTGCTTTGCCTGTATCACAAGCAGCAGGTTTTATTGGGATTTATAATCTTCTGTCTCGTTAGAGGCTGAGGGCTGGGTGGGGTTTAGAAGGAAAACTGTGTTCTCTCTTTTCCATGTCCATAAATCCTAAGGAATGTCAATGGCTGGTCAGTATGGTAAAGAGTAATCAGCAGGCTCCACGAATCCACATGTGCACAGGTGTTTCTCTTATTTAAGATTTTGAGTAGTAATGCTGCAAAGGAACAACCTTGCTTGATCACACGTGAGTCCTGTATAGGCAACTTGCATATTAACGTATATATTTCAGGGACCTCTCCCAGATTTTGTGCCAACCCTCAGTTTTACTCTGCATTTTTTGCAGAACTCCTCTTCAGTTTCCTGGTTTGCATTTTGTTACTGTTTCAGACCAGCTGTGTCTCAGTGAGCACAGTAGCCAAGAGCAATAGTCTAATTGAAGAATAGTAATTGTCTCTTTCATGCAGATCTGCTTGTTTTATGCATTTTTATTAATCTTAACAATCTTCAAGAACTTAGCTGTGAGTTGTTATTAGATGAATACAGAATGAGAGACTTAAACACCTTGGGTCACCAAGCTGTGTCCATTGTATATAGCACCATGATGTAATCCTATTTGTACTGTGGATTTGGGTCTTTAGTCCAAACACCTATTACATAAAAGATGGATAACTGAATCTCCAGACTTTACACTTGAAATAGAAAATAAGATCTCTGTTGGTTGTAAGAATAGGTGTAGGCAATTATGCTGGTGACTTGGATCCTGAGTGGGTGGAGACAGCTAAAATCCTGAAGAGGTGTGGCTCAGGTTTATCTCTGTGCTTTGGGTTTCTCTGAACATAGACTAGCAAGGCTTTGGGCAGATTTTGAGACACCTGACTCAATACAAGATGCATGATATTAAATTCTGGCTTCATTCCTCAGACCTATCTAGGTAGCTCTGTAGTTCCTGGCAATTTGTGTGAGGTGAAAAAGTGCAGGTTGGTTAATCCCTATATCAGTACTAAAAATATGAAAATACTTTGTGAAATACGTAGTGAAATAGCTATAATTTGCATAGCCTTATTTTCGTTTCTCTAATCTGTGTAGATCTCTCTGAAATTATTTTTCCAAACACTGGCATTCCTTTGTATGGGAGGAGACAGCACTTCGGCTAAAATGGAAAAATAGTGCTGTCAAGTTGGCTGTTTAGCTATTCAATGACTATAATCTTAAACACACAATGACATATCAGAAGTTTCATTGTCAAGATACCCTCTGAAAATTCCAGTGATTTCAAGTGTTATCTAAATGGCAGGTATAATCTCTTATTTTATTGTCATATGAATATAGAATTTCAATAGCTGTGGTCTGAAAGTTATGTAGAAAATAATTCCTACTTATTAGTGGAAAATCAAGAAAAATGCAAGTATAAAAGGAAAATCGTGGGGGGGAAGCCTATTTCTAATAGTATTTTTTCTGAGTGTCATTCTTTATAAAAAAAAATATATAATGCACTAAATTATTGTTTAATATTAATTATTTCACATAATGCAATGCCCTACTGACTGTATTTTTGCAGGAGTTACATGAAGTGCTGCTGCTTGAACTGGTATGTATATACATACATATATACACATATATCAATTCATTTATATGCTTGTGTTTTGACCTGACTAAAGTTATAGATGAAGGATTTTGTCTTCTGCAAAATTGCTGCATTTCTTTGAGGAATTATACATGAAATATTTCAGATCTTTAATATCAGCATAGAAAGAGGATGTGGACCTGCCTAGATGAGCCAAACCTCCCTTCCTCGAGTGGTTTGTTTAAATGTGTCGCTGGAGAATTTTGCCATAGTTGCTGACTGTGGTATATAGTGGGCAGTTAAGCCATAAGTAAACATTACAGCTTTACCAAAAGGATAGGCATGAATAGCCATTAGTTTCACAGGAAGGGAGGAAATGACCCTTTTCCTGATTGTCAGGTAGTTAAACTCGGTCTTTCCAGAGTGGATTTTAATCGATGAGGTATTCAAACAGTGAGGACAAAGGAACAGTGAAGAACTGCTTTTCTAAAAAAAGGACCGAATTGTAAACAGCAGTAAGTAGTTGCTTTCTTGTGTTGTCCAGCTAAAATTGACCTTAAGAAAACAAAATATGTTGGACCTAATTTGCAAATTTATGGTTGGTACGACTTAATTGAATTAGTGAACGCTGAATTTAGTTTGGGGTGTTCAATTTAGTCTGGGGTGTTCCTTAGTGCTGAGATTATCTGCACGTACAGATAGGCAACTTGATAAGGTCCCAGCAGTGGGAATAATTATCAGAACTATCAGGCAATTGTTGGCAATTCAGGTAAATTACAGCTACTTTTGGTTTTTTTATTACTTTTTACTTTGTGTTTTGGTTAATACTGGTAAAGTGTTTCTGAAGGTTTTTCCCCTGTATATTTTTTTTTCCATACATCCTCTGCCTTTGTTTTGTTTTATAGGGTTAAAAAAACCCCAAAGAATCAGAAGTGCTTTTAAAACTAGACTCAGTTTATTCACTGCTTGACTACCCGATATCTATTTTGTGTATGTAAATGCTCTCCTTTGTTCTTTTTCCATCAGGTATAAAGTAGTATTTCTCTGCTTTGCAAGTTCCACGTGCAGTGTATGTTCATGAATGCATGTCCCTCTTCAATGCTGCTCTGGCATATTGCTATACTTAATGTAGACTCAAAATTCCAAGACTTTGATAACTTACCCTGTTGAAAAAGCAAATGACATGGCAGAATAAAATACAACTTCCAAACAGAAAAAGGAGAAGACGTGAAAGCAAACAAGGTACATTTTTTTCACTTGTTTTCTTCCAAGCATCTAACTTGCACAAAAATATCTGAAAAAATAACACTAAAAAATGAATTATGTCAGTGGTTAGTGGATTGCATTAAAGTTTGTATTAAAAAGCCATGCCATTTGTGCCTCACATTTTCACTTTTTCTGAGCATAGAAGGAACTAAAACAAGGAAAGATTTGGGGTCTAATCTTACATTCTTCAGTGATTTAAGATTCCCACTGTGGTTAATCAAAACTGTAGGTGACTAAAATGGTGTATTTAACTCTAAACAGAAAACAAGCAGAACAAAATCCTTTCAGATTAAATGCAGGTTTGTCTGTAAAAGTCTGTTCTCTTTTCTTTTTTTCCTCCCAGGTGTGTTACACATGCTGGTTGTACTGTTATACTGGTTACTCAGAGCAAAAATCCCTTTCAATGGAAAAGGAGCAAATGTAGGTAGGACAGATAGGTAGAACAATTATTTTAAATGCAGTAATCTGCTATTCTTGAAAAAAAAATTCTCATTTCCTATGAAAACTTTCCTCTGTAAAATGTCTTCTGGGCCCTTAGCATTTGGGATTTCATATTTGGTACAGTGGTAAGGAAAGGTGAGGAAAATAGCCATGAGAGGTTTAATCCTCCTAACGAGGATAAGCTGTCATCACCAGTATATGTCAGAGTAGTCACAAACCTGTTTTAGTTTATGGTGAAACAGCACCTTAAGGACAGTTCCTCACTACCCCAAACTGCTAGAATCCATTGCATTCTCCAGAATGCTCCCTTCACCGAGAAGAAGAGCATTTGGCATATTTGTGACTACTTTTCTTGCTGGTTGGGGGTTTTTTTGTGTATTGTGTGAGGGTTATCTACCCGGTAATTTCCTCTTTTGTCCTACTAAAATAGTACTGAGCAAACCCTTGAATTAACTGCCTTACAATAACTGGATTTGGCAAAGTACCTAGAGACACACAGACTCATGTGCCATTACAAGCAAAAAAACCTCAGCAGATCTGCTGTTAAGTGGAGCCTATAGTTACCCTATCCCAATATTTACAAAAGAAGAGAACTACTGCTAAAAGAGATTTTATCAATGAAGGTTAACCAATCAGTTACCTAGAGAAAATGGGAAATCTTTAAAATGCAAGAAATAAACAAGTGAGGTCCTTGACTCTTTCCATGTGCTTTCCTCAGTCAACCCCCTCTGTTCATCTCCTGTCTTATATATTCACAGGAATCATGTCCCCCTGTCCTTTTCTCGTAGTCCAGGGCCTCTGTGCCTCACCATAACATAACCTCTAATTCTATGAAAGGAGGATGGAGATTTTCGCACTCATGTTCAAGCTATCAGTGTTTAAAGTTATATTGGCAGAACAGGAAGAGTTGTCATGGAGGAAAAACAAAACAGGTTGGTTTTGCTAAAAAGAGGTTTTGGTTAGTGTTAAGAGAATCTGTGATCTCTGAAATCTGGAAAATTTGGCATTGACTAGATTCAATCAGTGTTGAACATGTTACATGTTTTGCGCTAGTGATAGAGGAGTATTGATAGAGTTGGATTATTGCTCCCACTAGAAGATTTGATTTTGGTAAGGGTAGACTGACAGATGCTCAGCTGATTTAAAATGGTATGGTGAGTGTGATACCATCAGAGTCGAGTGAATCTATGGTAGGTTGAATCCAGTGGAATAATATTCCCATTTTACTGACTGAGAAGCTGAACTACATGGAGATCGTGAGGCTTGGCCACAAAAATTCGGCAGGCTCTTTACAGAGTTGGGAAACAACCCAGTCTCCTAAAATCCAGTTCAAATTTCTGACCAGGGTTACACTGTCTGACAAATAGTCACTAATCAGTGTTTTGAGGAGCTCACTTCTGTCTCACACACAGAAGGATATTAATCTACTAATCCTAAATACAAAATGAATGTATCATGTCATACAGTTACAAAATGATGCTTTCAGTGTGACTTTTTAGGCATCTTTCAGCTCATTCAACATTATTTTCTATAAACCAGAGTACTTACAAAGAAATACTGTTCAGCCTCTTCTCTGCATAACAAAAAGCAGCCCACAACTGTAAGGTCTCTTTCCATTCATCAGTCACCACATCTGTTGCTTGCTTGGACACTGACCAAAATGATTCATTCACATGTCTAACATTTATTTTTGGTGAAATACTGGGATTATACAGAATGGCAATATTTCAAAAATGGGTCTAGAAAACCAAGGGAAGTTGGAAACAACTTCCTCAGCTGAAAACAAACACGGCGTTATATCATTCTGCAGCTTTATTAGAGGGAAGGCAGTAGCCAAGTGAAGCAGCTGGAATCACACTGAAGTCACTCTGAACTCTGCAGATCATTTCATTCTTCCTTCTGCTACAGAGCTCACGTCCCTGATTTAAGGTGCCTTTTGTTTCAAAGAACTAAGAAAGGTAGGTCAATCTCTCTTATATATAAAATCTTTTTCTCCCTCCCTTCTACATAATGTGTCTCTACAGCTACAACAAGACTTGCAGGCAAACTCTGTAAGATGGTGTAGCACATACTGGCCAAAAGAGCTTCTTGGCAGAAAGGCTGTGATACGTATTTCAAAGATTGTTTTAAATCACCCCAGCAGCAAGAAAAGATATGAAAGTATGCGTGAATTTAATTTTTAATGACTTCTGAATATGTTTATACACACTTCAAGGAGTTTTATCCTGTCAGAGAATGGTAAGTGACCTTGATTTAAATCTCTCTCTCCCCCCCATCTCCCGTAGTATGCAGGTTTTTAGGTTTTTTATTTGGGTAGGGATAGTGTGTCTCCCATAGCTGTAGAAATTCCCAGTATTATTAGAAAAAAGTACACCAGTTCTGCTCTGAACTGATTCTAGAAACTGGAAATCATTTCAACTTAACAAAATAATTCTGAAGAATTACAGTCATGCAGAATTAAATAAGGTTTCTATGATCTCAGCTGGAAAGTGTGTGTGTTTTCCCTAATCACTGTGGAATAAGGTAGGACGTGGATCTAGTTCATTAAGTGTATTGGCTTGTTTCCTAGAAGTGACAAGAAGATCTGAAGCCTTGTATACTACCACACAATGAGACAGGGCTATATTCCACCACCTATTCAGACTTTGTGATAACAGTGTCATTGTCACCTGTTGCCTTTCTAAATGTGATCTTGCAAAGCCAAACAACATCACAGACCTGTTTTTGTAGACTTTGTAGACATTGAATTATGCCTATGTTCATATGTCTATGAATTAAAACACATCAAAACACATTTTTTTTTCTAGCTGAATGAAATTATTTTTCTGAATAATTTTAAATGTTCATTAACTCATAGCTAAGGAAAAGAAAGTAAGGGTATGTCAGGGTAAAGGAATTTGTTGGAGCAGCTTTGTAGAAACTGCTTTTAGGATTAACTTGCTTATGATACCTTACTTTCACTAGCATCATATTATTGTCCTGCTTCAGCTGAATTAGGAAATGCAAATATTTCAATAACCCAATTTACTTTTGTTTAATGTCATTGCAGCTTCTGCCCAAATTTAAAATATTATCAATCACTTATGCCAGGCAGACAGGATAGAGGTCCTACCAAGTTTACTTCAATCCTAGGAATCCCTATATGTGCCATGAGTGGCATTACAGCACACTTCTACTGCACTTAAAATCTCTGAGTGTGGTGCAGTGGAAGTTATTTAAGCCTGGAGAATGAATTTATGGTTTGAATTCTCAAATTGCCTTTGTGGAAAGGGATCGTATGTCAGGAAAGCTCTGTATAAGGATTCTTGGGCAGAATCTG